AGTAGCAGAGAAGAGGTTATTTACCTTACCTTTGCTGTAGACTTCTCTTCTTTTTCTTGCTCCTCTTCCTCTATTACAGCTTCGTCTTCACTTTCCACCCTTCTTCGTTTTCGTCCAATCTTCGCATGCCTGACTGTGTTGACAAAGTCTGACTTCAGTTTTTCTATTACAACCTTACAGTTATCCATTTTCTCCGAAACCAAGAGAACAGACTTTTTCGAACGAAGCGTACGAGTTGTTGGTTTATTTTCTAGGTCATCCGACATGCCACCGTTTGTAGCTGTCTTCCGCGAGCGAGTACAACGGCCGAGGTTACTCTTGACCGCCATGTTTTTGAACCATTTCCGGAGGGATCATGTAAGCTTTTACTTTTTGCAGGGGAGGGGCTGACCCAAAACTGTGAAGTATCTGATTTCCATGGAATTTTTGAAGTAAAACATTCTACAGCCGACGAAACTTGCAGAAAATGGTCAAAATAGATTCAAAGACTCGTAAAAATATATTTTACATTGGGTTCTTCTGTCACCTACCTAGTTATTGGTTTTGCATTCCACTCTCTCCACCCTGACATCTTAGAGATGCTTATAGAAACAACCGCTGACTTTTTTCGGCTCTAATGTTTTCACGAAATTTCTGGTTCGTGCGAAGTAAAAGTTGTTTTGATGTTTCCTCTGGAATTTACCTTTTGCAGGACGATCTATCATCAGCCGTTGGCTAATATGTGATCCCCACCGTCGCATGACGAAAAAAATCGTCGCTGGCCTTCGAACTAGCGCGAGAATAATGCCCAAAAGAGGAAAAGTCACTCGCAGTACAGAACAAACTCTACTTAAAAACAAACACGAGGCAGGAGTTATCGAATCAGCAATCTCCTTGACCAAAGACGGCCAGATCTCTGTGAGAGTGCTGGCAAAGCCTGGTGTAAAGCAAAGTAACATCACAGGTAAGAACTTTTATGAAAAACCAGACTACAGGAGTAGGGCTAAAAGTGCTAAGGTCTTCTTCCAAAACCATACCCCCGAGGTGGGCTGGGTCGGTAGCAAAGCGGCCCCTCTTTGGATGGCACAGGGGTAGATCGACAAGTTCAAATTATTGATAAATTGTAAAAGAAAAGTGATATTCTCTTCTTTTTTAAACAAAAGATATTCCTTTCACGATGACTTCTCACCTCCGATAACAAGTTAGGTTCAGATAGCCATATTACTTACATCCGGTGTAGGAGGTAAAACTCTAGGATACTGCATTTAATTCTTAGAAGCAGATGAATATTTCCTTATTCTTTAAAATTACCCAATATTAAGAGGTTGGCTAAGGGTTTACTGTATACAAAATTGATACGTGACGGGTGAATTTTTCACAGAAAGGTGGTGGAGTGAGATTTGAAGTATTTGTCACCACTTTAATACTAATTTCTCGTCTACTTGGCAGATATTTCTTCAGATGGGGTTGAGGTGCAGATTGGTGCTCCTGCAAGGGATGGTGAGGCAAATGAGGAGCTCGTACGATACCTAGCAGAGGTGCTAAATGTGAGGACAAGAACCATCTCTCTAGACAAGGGATCTAAGTCACGTAATAAGGTGGTTACAGTAGATTTAGCTGAGATTTCATTGGAACAAGTTAAGGAGGTGCTTTGTAGAGCGGCTTCACAGAATTAGCAGACAAAAAGTCCCAAGACGCATGCCACAAAGACGCTAGCCCGTGACAGGGCCTTTTCAGCGGTCATGAGTTGATAATATGGCACGAGAAAATTGGTAGAATGACTTAGTGTCCCCACTTTTTGGCTTTCCCCCTCAAATTAATTGCCTGGATGAGGCAAACATGATGCAGACAAAGATGGAAAAGGCATCTACACATGTATTTGAACATCTGAAAGCTGACTGTTTCATATATAAAGGCAGCAGATTGGATCTTCTGTTCAATATTATTCATGGTTTTTTCGGTAAATTACCTTCAACGATACCCAAAAATGTAGGAACTCTAATGTAGTTTATTCATGTGAATAAAATCTTTCTACCAACTTCGTTTGGTTATTGTTATTCTGACGAGCAATCTCTGAAAATAATTCCCTTGCACTTCAATTAATGTTGAAAACGCAATTTTTAAGACTCCACAATTCACCAGTGAACTTAAAAAGACAAAATGATAGGACTGTTATGGGATTTTTTTTTTAAAATCCTTTACACCCTTACTTAGTATTCATATTCTCCAGACTGTTCTCTATACTTTTCCTGTGATACTGGCAAGGAGAATTTGTTTTATTAATAATCAGGTGCTTCCAAAATCGGTGATTATTTCCTTTTTCTCACGCCCTTAGTTTAACTCTGATTCAAGGGTGATACTGTGAGGGGAAATTAAAATCCTGACACTCTTTCTTTGGATTCAAGGATTTAAAATAATATATAGAAGCAAATTATACTGACACGAATTGTTGATTCTAATTTTCTACCAATTTTATTTATACATTTATCATGTTTTCACATGACACTATAATCCACTCAAAAACACTACTGTACAATTATGTTGGAAACATTGATTTACCAAAAATACCTATTATTACAAAAATAGCTTTCACCATTACTTAAATTTACCATTACCAAAGAGCACAAAGACTTTATTTTTTAAATTATTGCAAATGTAAGTAAGCGCTTCACAGAAGAGTATTGAAAAAGTAACACTAACCACTGAAAATTACCATGATGTACAAGTTCAGTACAAAAGTTACAATCTTTAAAAAATAACGTACCTACTTTTTTTTCTCTTAAAGAAAAGTTTAAATGGTTACAAAGGCTGTGAAAGTGCTATTGAGATGTAAATCAAGTGGCGTGCATGTATAAAAATGCTGCAAAAGGTAAATTACCAATTTGAATGGATAGTACATTTACAGCTCTTAGAGCATGTGGTTAAGAAATTTGCAATTTAAATTCATGACTTTTACATGACTTTGTCACTTGGAATCACACTATTTTAAAATTTGAATTTTGAGGCAAGTGGAAAATTTGCTGAAATTTTCACATCAGAAAAGAAAGAAAGAAAGAAAGAAAGGAAGAAAGAAAAGAGAAGAGAAAACATGAACATCGGAGAGCCACTGTTCTGTGTGTTAAGTCCATGTCAAAAGCATACTTTAGAAAGCATTTTTAAAAATAGGGAAATTTGTCAAGTTTATGCAGTTATTACTGATATGTTTACATAGCAAACAGAAAAGGAACAAAACTAAGCATTGTACTAAAATTTGAAAAACTCAACTTATAACTGTACATAAATTTCTAGCTGTAGAGTGAAATAGAGTGATACTCTGCACAACTTGCTGATCCAACTTGATGGAACTCAATGCCTATAAATCAAGAAGACAACATGATAGATGTTAAAAATTATCTAAGCATCATTGAAACAAAACGTTTCTTAAGTTAAGTTTTAAGTAAACAGTACTGGATGAGGTTGAGAATGATATCATGCAAAAACCAAGTTCAATAATTGTTTTTTACATATTTTTTAAACAACCTGCAGAAAGAAGACACGTCTCACTGAGTTTGCAGAAGTTTGAGAACACTGCATGCACAAGGGGATTGAAAACCAGGCAGATCTTGAACTTGACATGATAAATGCAACATCCTCTTCAAATTTTGCATTACTAGTGTCATCTTCAAATGCTATTGTAAATTGGATATTAAGTCTAATGTATAAAACTACAGGATACTGTACCTTTTTTTCATATAATGTTCCACGCCTCTGCTCATGTGTTGTGGAGATGACTGTATCATGGAGGGAGCTAAAACAAATTTCAAACAAAAAAGGGAAATTCATATACACCTTCATCAAATGGTGTACCTTATTTTTCTGTAGTGTCCTTGTCAATTCATCTTTCCAGTCTTAAGACAGAATGATTTACATCAATAGAATTTCCATTCAAAAATGAGGCTGAGAAAGCTTATTTGCATGTGTATGAAAGAATGACTCTTAGGTTTGCCATACATGAAAGAGCTCTGAACGCAATTAAAGTGAATATGAATATCTTGTGTTGAGACACTAACAGAGAAAAAGTAAAGAAAACCTGTGAGGAGATTAGGAGAAGGAAACCTGATGTGAGTTATTTTCTCTCTAGTTGATCACTCAATCTTGCTACAAAACCTAGTTGTTTCCTTTAACTGTTCCAAAAATTTAAAAAAATTTAAAAAACACACACATGTGACATGTACAAACACTTCACCCTTTTACTCTCTGGAGTGAAAAAAAGGGAAGTTCTCCTCACCATATTAAAACATTTTTTTAAGCATAAAGGTAATGAGAACAAAGAAAACTGTGGAGTATGGGGTGTAGTTTGATTTATCACCAACTTCTTAGAGCTGCAATTGTAAGAAATGTATGACACACATTAGGGAGTTACATGTATTTAGATCCAGGGCATGACAGGTGTAATGTCTCACAGGGGTAGAGGGGGGAGAAGGATATCATTGATTTTTATGTAGGCAAAGCAGGTGTTAACTCACCAAAGGCTGGGTCAAACTGCCCAATGATACTATAGAAGCCCATGTGATCTGCCGCAAGCCTTTGTCTCATAATCTCCTCCTCTGTGAGTACATCCACATGACCTGCCATTCTACTGATTGCTAGGTTGTTTGCAATTATGCTTGGGTGATTATGCAAAGTGTTGCTCTCCCCTTTAAAATCAGATAACCTGGAGCTAGCCTTTGGCGATATCTTTTGCTCACTTGATGTGCCACGATTTCTGACTCTGTCATCTTTGGAGGGAACTGATGAATGGCGAGCTTCCTTTTCAGTACTTTCTTTGAGTTTTTGCAGTCTTTCATGAGTATCTGTGGTTGACATACGAGCTTGGGAGCTGGAGTGAAGCGTGGGTGTAGAAGAACGATCCCTCTCTGCTACTTGATAGGGACTTCTTGTGTCACGCTCTCTACTTGATGACATCACAGCACTTGATTCCCCATTGCTGCTTATTGGCATGCTCATAACCATTCCTGGAGGAAGTGGGAGCTGTTGGCTGATTAACATCTGATGAGCACTGTATGGTAACTGTCCTGTACACCAATTAGAACAAGAAAGTAACACCTGATTTATTTCATTTTGTTGTGATTAAATCACATCCATTGCAAAAAAAGTTATCTCATTACAGTACTTAAAATTTTATTAGGTAATTTTCACTGCACATTCACTTTCCCTTTGCAAAAACTTAAGAGTCTAAATATTAAATGGTGCTTCAAACTAACCTGCCGATGGGTCAAAGTTGAACTGTGACAAATATGCCTGAAACTGAGTTGGTGTAAAGTTTGTGGAGTGTGAGTTTGCACTCTCCCTTTTTTCATCTGAAGTGGGGGAGTTCTCTTTGTATCTTGCTGCTGGTAAAGGTGACCTGGAAGGTCTTGGAGATCTTGGAGCCAAAAGGGATTGGGATTTGATAACCTGGCTACGGGGAGATCCATGGTCTGAGGAGGAGCCACTGCGAGAATTTTCTGCCTCAAAAGAATGGTTTATTTCCTTTGCTGTACTTGTTGATGGCTCCTGAAAGATGAAGAGTTAAAGGAAATAATTACAAATTCTGGGTGATATTTCCTTGGAATTCTTCAGTGGTGCCATTTACCTAAAATGGAAGAGAGAGTTTAATGGTTTAAACCATTAGAAACTACAAACAGTTAAAAATACCTAAAAACATAGAAACCGAATCAATTTTAAGGAATTATGATCAAACCTGAGAACGGTGTTTCACCATGTCCCTTCCACTTTCACTCCTATTTTCCATTTTTTCCTCCTCTCTACTAAGATTTCCACGTCTTTCTGACCCTTCTGGAGTTTTTTGTTGCTTGTGAAAGGTGCCACTCATTTCATTCTCCAGTTTCCTTGTTCAAAGAACAAAAAGACAGAAAAGTGACAAAATGCCTAGAAACAATTGTCCATGTTCTTATGGTTGTAAAGTTCTCTACTCAAGAAATTCAAGAGAAAAAGGGAAACATCACACACCCCTCCCAAGCTACCAAAACTCATCAAAATCAATGCCTGCCTCTTGGGGCTGGACACTTGATGGGTCTAAGTTAAGTTAAACTCGAATCTCTGTTCGCAGAGAGGATCTTTTACTAATTTTTTAAAGACGTTTTGAGAAGACAAAGCCATTAACCTTGTACACCTTAGCATCAAGACGCATATTCTCCTTACTGTTTCCTATGCATTTCCTATGCATTTCCTATGTTGCTAACAAGGAAAATTTAGTTGGTGATCATTTCCTTTATTCTCATGACCTTAATATATATTCAGCGGTGATATTGTAAGGAGTAAATCAGATGCTAGTAGCTCTTAAGGGTTCAAGAGTTAAATTAAAAGTAATATCAAAAGCAGCTGGAAACAATAAGTATTGACGTACTTAAACATTGACATCCGCTGCTTTTGCTTTTGCACCTGCAGATATTCCTCCTCCTTTTCGTACTTCAGACGTTCCATCTCTCTCTCACGTTCATACGCTTCATCAACCCTGCTTTTCTTTTCAGGAGGTTCATCAGAAGACAGCTTGTGTTGTGTCATCTTGGGTGATGAGCCATGTGATGATGGATATGGTAAACTCTCATTTTTACCTGGGAATCGCCGAAATTCACTTTCATCAGGAGAGGTCCTTGCAGGCATTGCTTTCTTAATGCTCACCTCATCTGATCTTCGTTCATCCTGAGTTCTGTCACTTGGTTTTTGAGTTTCTTTCTTCTCAAACGTTCTTGTTTCAGTATGACCTGAACTGCTGCTGCTGCGCATTCCCTATATGAAAATAGCAAAGTTTATTATTGTACACATCA